ACCACCTAGAAAAATATAATTTGAAATGATTCCCCCAGATACATGGCTAAAACGTCTTCATGGTCCGGGTCAGAAAGAAAGGCTCGTAATAATCCACAAGATTGAAATTCCAGAAAGGCCAGATGACAGGACAAAAGCCACAGGTTGGTCTGGCAGGAGAAAGTCTTTGAGATGAATCTCTATACTCTACACCTTTGCTACTCAAAGTATGGTCCCTGGACCGGAAGCATCAGCATCACCTGGAGGCTTGTTCAAAATGCTGACGCTCAAGCCCGAACCAGCCCCACTAAGTCAGAACCTGCATATCAACGAGATCCCCAGGGATATGTATACAGAGTGAGTGTGAGAAGCCTTTCCCAATACCATCAGTGAGATGTTTGGAAAAGTCAGTCAATCATAGAAGGACCTCACCGCAGAGCTGAAAGGCCCAGGTGAGCCCAAGTGAGAGCAGTGGACCTCCGTGATCCATCACCAACGCTGAATTGTAGGACTAACATCATGGGACATTCCTCGATGCTGCAGGGTGAGGCAGTCATGTCCAGCTCTCAGGAGACAGAATTGTTTTCTGGGATCTCTGACCAGAGAGGCAGCTGCCAGAGCCTCTCTGGCAGAGTATGGCAGTATGTCTCACTGCCATACTTCCTGACGTGCTGGAGCATTAGGTAAAAAGGAGATGAGACACCGGGGAATACTGCTCAGCAATAAAAAAGGAACAGACTCTTGATACATGTAACATGCTTGGATGGATCTCAAGGGCATTGTGCTGAGTGAAGAAAGCCACTTACTGTATGGTTCCATTCATATAACATTCTCAAAATGACAACACTATGGAGATGGAAAACAGATTAGTGGTTGCTAGGGCTTATGGATGGTATGCGTGGAGGAAGGGGGTAGGAGTGACTATAAAGGGGTGGCACGAAGGAGATCTTTGTGGTGATGGAATAGTGATGGTGGTGGTGGTTAAACAGATCTACACACGTCATAAAATGGCACAGAGCTATAAACTCACATTGTGCCAACGTCCACTTCCTGGTTTGATGCTATACTAGAGATACTTGAGATGCTACCATTGGGGGAAACTGGGTGAAGGGTACACAGGACCTCTCTGTACTCTCTTTGTGACTCCCTGTGAATCTATAATTATTTAAAAACAAAAAGTGAGAAAAACAAAAGGAGATGGTAGTCAGGAGGCCGTGATCTGGTGAGATGCATCCTCAGAGTAAAATGTCCTTGGACCCAGGTTGTAGGGCTTTACTTGGTTTCCCACCTGTTTTACCGAAGACATCATCATACACTGAGGTCCCTTTACTGAAGTCATCCTGGATGCAATCCAGTATGTCCTATCACACTAAACAGCGTCACCACCATTCTAATATATGTAATATATAATATATATATGTAGTAAGAGGAGTGTGTGTGACATGTGCCGGTCTAGGTGACAGAATATCATCTCAGAAGGACTCCCATTTAGAGTTGAGGAAACTGGTCCAGGGTGGAGAAGAGGCCCGGTCAAGGTTACCCAAGTAGCTGATGGCAGCAGTGAGCCCACAGGTGAGGTCTGGTACCCAGCCCAGAGCCCCTCTGTTATCCCACCTGCAGCTTAGTACCAGAGGTTTGAGACGGCATTAAAATGCAGAACTCATCCAAAGGTTAACTCTGAAAAGCAACACCCAAAGCACGTATCAGTGACATCAGGGCACCTCTTTTAATTGCCTATTCACGTGGACAGATTGACTTTTCATATTCAGAGCTAAACTTGGAGACGTGTCCTTTTGCAGGGTTCTCGTTATCTGACTGCCTCATCAGGAATGGAACTAATGTGCAATGTGATTGCTGAGTTTGAGTTCTATTTTTTTTTTTTTTCCTGTGAAGCAGGAAGTTTAAAATGTGCTGGGTTATATTTTAAGATGGTGAAAAAATAGGCATCCTACCAGCTTCTGTAACGGCCCTGTCCAAAGGCACGTGCTACTTTATTCAAGGCATTGGCCAGCTGCGGAGGAACAGGGGTGGCATGAAGTCTTACCAGGGAGATTTCCTGGTGGAGGGACTGGGGATGAGTGTCCACACACTGAAGTGGCAGCAAAGGACCTGAGCTTAGCTGTTGACTTGGCGAGGACAGAGATCCAGGGTGTTTTTGGTGGTGACATCCAGCAGTTTGTTTCATTTGGGAATTTATGACTCTCACTTCCTCCCCAAAGCGTGTTGGTCGCCAGACCTGAACTGAGAGTTGGCCCCAATGAGTCTGTTCCCTGCCCGGTCATTTTTGGGGCCTTGTGTCATATGAGTCACAAACGTGAGTCTCACATTCTTGAGTTGATGAGGAGTTTGGGAGAGCAAACCCCTGCAACTCTAGTACTTAGGAAATCGAGTATTTATCTGAAAGGAAATCCAGTTGAACTTGGCTTCCATTAAGTTACACATTTCTTGATCACCGACTTTGTGTTAAGGCACTGTAGTAGGAACGAGGTTGGCAATAGAATTTTTTGGGGGCAATTTCCCCACGTCGCCTGGAAGAGCAACAAAACTCAGAGAATCACAAACCACCATGGGAAATTCTGCCGTAGAAAGTTCTAGAAAGTGACTTCCCTGGTGGCGCAGTGGTTAAGAATCTGCCTGCCAGTGCAGGGGACACGGGTTCAATCCCTGGCCCGGGAAGTTCCCACATGCTGCAGAGCAGCTAAGCCCGTGCTCCACAACTGCTGAGCCTGCGCCCTAGAGCCCGCGAGCCACAACTACTGAGCCGGCGCGCCTAGAGCCCGTGCTCCGCAACAAGAGAAGCCACCGCAATGAGAAGCCCGCGCACTACAAAAACGAGCAGCCCCCGCTCGCCGCAACTAGAGAAAGGCTGTGTGCAGCAACGAAGACCCAACGCAGCCAAAAAATTAAAAAAAAAAAAAGTTCTAGAAATGAATGGTAAAATCATTAACCTTCCTTTCCTCGTGTGAGTCATCATGTTCTCCTCTCTGCTCAGTCTTAGAAATTCGGAACGCTTTTTCTCCGCTACTACAAGCAGAGGCCCTGTACAGAATACCTCCTCTAATCCTCCCAACAACCCTGTTCACTAGTTATTTTTAAACCCAATTTCTCAAAAGAGGAAAATGAAAACTTGATGGCGTAATAACCTGTCCACTGTTTTCAAAGTGAGTCCGGGGCTGAATCAGCTGGGAAAGGGAAGGTTTCAGGCCTGCACTGGAGCCTGACGTCCAGTAGTGGGCGCTGCACAGAAGGGCTGGGTGAATTTCTCCCCGACTTGAACGCTGAAGCTGACAAGCTCAGGAAACGGTCTGCTAGCGGGCGGGCGGGGGTGGGGGGGGGGGGGTGGTGTCCACGTCGGGGCGGGTGGGAAGGGGAGGTAGGAGTGGGAGGCTGTGAACACTTCTCTGACCACTCATATGTGACTCAAGCTGGCGAACGTAGGGCGAGGGGTCGGGGGAGCTGCGCACTGGATTCTGAAGAAGGCTGGGAGCCCAAGATGGGTGATAGAGGAGATTTTCCTCAAAGAATTGCCTAGGATCCTTACCTTTCACCCACCCTGAAAGCACGAGGCCTGAGGTTAGTAAGCGCTGTGTGATAACAGCTTTGATGAGACAACTCTGGATGACATATCACCCAGCTGGAGTAACACTTTTGCCTGGGGCTTCCCAGGAAAGAAACGCAAGCTACAAGAGTCACAGGACTCCAGAGTCCCAGGGGTGGAGAGACTCTGGTAGAGGCCCGACTGCACTTTCCTCCAGCTTCTGCCTGGGCCCCTCTTGTGTTGGGAGCTCACACCTTGATCTTATTTTGGGTGGAGAATCCTCCTTCTTTTGGGGAGAACGGATGGCACCCAAGCATGGTGTATATAAGACCCTTCCCACGTTGAGTTGGGGAGGGGGTAGCAGAAGCCAAGTCAAGCCCTTCATGTTGATTCCCGGGGCTGCAGGCACACGAGCCTTCTGGTTTTCCACTGCGAACGGAAGGGGCGCAGGGGAGCTACGTGGCAGGAAGGTAGGCTCCCCCACCTACGCCTACCCCCCCATGCTAAGGGGCCCTTGTGCAGTCGCTAAGAACAGAGGGACAAACCCCCTATCCGACAAGTGAAAGGCAAATGCCACAGCACACGCTTTATCTTTCCAAAAGGAACACATCACATGCCTCATTCACTCCGAGGATACACAGGGGGTGATGCACAGTCAAAAATAAACTGACCTTCTGTTCTCCTGGCCTGACTCTGAGTTCTGGCTCCTGGCACTCAGTTGCTTGGGTTGCTTCCTAAAGAAGAAACAGACCTCGACTGCTAAGCAGGGGTGATCAGTCTTTGCCAGAGGTGCTTGTGATGTCAGCTGTTGACCAGGCCTCACTGGCCCAGGGCTCCAGGGGCTGCCTGGACCTCTCCCTGGCTTCCTGTAGGCCTCTGTGGATAGGCCAGAGGTATTCATCTCCACCAGGCCTGGGTTGGGCCCAGGCTGGGTCAGGAGCCAGAGGGGACCAGCTGGGGACTTGGTTTGACCCCCAAGGGGAGAGCTGCTTGTCCCTCCATGACCCTCACCCCTAATCCCAGAATGCTGCCACCATCCACAAATATCACTTCATGCTGCCCTTTGGGGTGGGACATGCCAGGTTGAGATAACCTGTTTTTCTCCATTCCCCCACTCCCCAAAAGCTTCATCAAGGCACACAATGACAGTCAGAACTCCATCCTTTGCAGGCGAGTTAGCTGCAGGAGGCAAGAGGCAATGACAGGCGGCACCTGTATGTCCTCTGCCTGATGGGAAGGAAATCCAAGGGTGGCACCCAGAGGTGTCTGCAGACCCAGGGGACTAGAGCTTGGTTAGCCAAGTTCTAGTTGGCAGAGTGGAAGGCAGTCAGCGACACGAGCAACCATCTTTTATCTAGCATCTTCATTTCCCTTGATTTTTTTTTTCTGCAGGGTCACATTTTCCGATCTCTTAACTGAGTGAAGTTCTCAGGCTCCAACTGTGGGGTGAGAGCTCACTGGTACCATACAAACAATGCACGGCTTGGGAAAATCATTTCTTTTAATGACAGAGAAAGCACACCAAACTATGACAGAAGCCCGTCAGGAGTTGCCACTGTACAAATCAATGCCCAGAGGCCCAGAGCTAGCATCAGACATTCACAGGGAAGTCAGTCGCGGTTAAGGAAACATCCACGCAGCATCTCGGACAGGAGGAGGCGAGAGACAGCAATGACTCAGGATGTGCTGTGTATCTGTGACTTGGACTCCTCTGTAGGCAGTTTTTTTTCCCCCTTCCTCATCGGATGCTGGGGGCTGGGGAGGTTTGCAAATGACCGAGTGGAAGAGAGGCCTTGTGTATCAGCATCACAGAAGAGCCAATGCTGTAGACAGATGTGGCCCGGGTACTCCATGGGTCATACCCATGAAATACGACTTGACATTGGTCCTCTGAACAATGGCTCAGGGAGCTAGTACAACGTTTGAACAGCAGCTCCTTTAGACTCTGGGGTCTGCGCACAAGTTCCCAAAGGCATGCTAGGAAATAGTTTTGTCAACGAAACTTTGCCACCCTAAAGGGTAAGAGTCATTCTCCTAGTTTTTACTGCATGTTATCTAGGTTTCAAATGACAGGACAAGAAAAAAAAGGCAGCGACTCAAAAATTATTTGGAATATTGTGGCACTTCACTAATCTCTTTTGCTTATAAGATATGGCAAAGCAAACAGAACCCTGTCGACATAAACTCTCATTATAGATAACCCTATACTGTACACTCTCAGAATACAGAAAGAATCCATCCTATCATACATGTTTCATCTTTAAAAATAATCTAACATAGTCATATCCTCTGGCTAGTAACAAACTATGAACATCTTCTGAGAATACAGAGGAAACTCTGGGGTTAATAGTAAATTCTCTGACGTGCCCCCCCCATCCCCTATGCAGCATCATCTATGAACACATTTCTGCAAAAGCATCCCAGCATCATTCCTAACTAGGAAAGGAAATGGATATGTTAGTTTCACCAAATGGACTTTTAGCAAGAAGTGATGGGACATTTTTACCTTGGCAAAAATGAAGCACAAACATAACATTTTACAGGTTCAGGCCCATGCAAATGCATGTTTTTTTTTTATGTGGGGGATTTTATTCTCACCCCGAAATCACGATTAGCATGCAGGTTTTTTTCAACTATTGAGTTAATTATTGGCAGTGCAGCTCTTTTGGGTAACCATGATCACTAAGGCAAGGTTATTATTTCACCTTGTGCAGAATATAGTAATATCTTCTCAGATGCATGTTTATACAGTGTAGACCTGCAACTGTATCTTTAAAAAAAGAAATCTCAAAACACAGATCCCTAAACACAATCCAGTTGAAAATGAACTGTTAAGCTTTTAGAAATATATTTTAAACTACAAGGCTACCCTGTTTTGGGTTTTTTTTTTTTAATGAACATTTTAAAAAGTTCCCACCCCTAAAAATATGCCAAATGATGTCTTCGTCATTGGTAACAGTCTCACCAATTTGCTACCATGGTTTAACTCTTGCGGAATTGCAGCTACTAAGGTAATGTGTAATAAATATAATGCTTTTCAGGGTCGATGCAGTGAAGTTCTCCAACTGTCAACCTGGAACCTGAACGACCTTTAGTTCTCAGTCTATCTGCTGGACAGCGGTCCCTGGCAAGGGGTGTTCAACTGCCCCAGGGGTGCTTTCAGATGAGGTCAGCTCGGCTGCCCCACGTTGGCCTTCTAGCTCTGGATCCAGCCGTAATCTGACCTGCAGGCCAGTGGCATGTCCTTTGTTTCTCAACAGGAGCTCATGAGAGCTGCATTTGCTTATTCAAGAGCAGCTGAGGCAGGAAAAGCAGCTCCTTGGCCCAGCCAAAAACAGACGCCAGGTGAGACTCGTATGTTTGTGTGAAGCCAATGCAGCAGCAGAACTGGCAAGTCCCCGGGGAACATTCTTTGGACTGGACGTTTCATACAACAGAACCTTTGGAAGATGACAAGTGGATTGACTGAATCCTGATGGCCAACGTCCTCTGTAAGTCCTGGAGCACATCCTGGCCCGTCCCTTCGCCATTTTTGTCATATAGGAGCTGCTTGAATGCTTCGTTTTCGATGAGGACCATCATGTTTTTGAGAAAGTAGCCTTCGCAATATGCTGAGAGCTCCATGACTCCAAGAAACTGTGGAGAGTGGAGAAGAAGCAGGAGATGGTTATGTTTCTGAAAGCACCTGTTTTCACACGTGTTGATGGCGAACACCTGTTAAAGGAGACTGCGACAGTGGCCCCGATTCTGCATCCTTTGCTGTATTCACACCCAGGGTATGTGACTTTGCAGCTCCTCCCGTCAAAGGGCTGAGTCCATTTCTCCCTGCCTTGGCCTTGTGAGTTGCTCAGGCCAAGAGAACGTGGTTGAAGTGAGAGTTGCCAGCTCTGAGCTGGCTTCAAGTGGCCATGTGTGCTTCTGTGCTCTCTCTCAGAACCCTGCCTCTGCCTCAAAAACAAGCCTGAGCTAGCCTGCTTGCAGCTTCAACAACCACATGAAACTGACCCGACAGCGACAGAGCCCAGCCAGGATCAGCACAGCCAGCCACAGCCGACCGGCCAGCTGACCTCAGAAGCAAGGCTGGCTGAGACCAGAAGAGCCCACCCATGCTGTCAACTCATGCACTAACACTGGGTTTTGAGTCTCTTTGCTCCACTACAGATAACTGGGGCACTGACGGAGTTGCAGACACAGTTCTAATCTCTTTACAAGTATCAATTAGCTCACTTAATTCTCACAACCATCCTATGAGTGGGCACTGCCTACCTACCCCCTGTATTTAGGGCAGTGGTTCTCGACCAGGGGTGATTTTGTCTCTCAGGCGACATCTGGAAGTCTGGACACATTTTTGGTTGTCACAACTCGGGGGCAGGGGTGGAGCGTGTACTACTGGCATCTAGTGGGCAGAAGCCAGGGATGCCACTAAATACCCCACCAGTAGAGGACAGACCCCCTGGCAGAGAATTACGCAGCTCACTTTGTCAGTAGTGCCAAGGTTGAGAAACCGATCAAGAGACATAGCTCCTGACAGACTAAACCAATACGGAAGGGATGACATTGACCTGCCTCACTTTACAAGCCCAAGAAGAAGGCTTGGTAGACAGTAGCCACAATATGGATTTGTTGAATGTATGAATGAACAGTTAATTCTCAGAGTAGTGACACCAGCAGCAAACACTGAGTGACAGCATATCATGTGCTGAGCACCGTGCTAGGCACTTCACGTGCATCATCTCAAAGTCCTCAAATTTCCTTGAGGCAGGTACTATTACCACCTTCGATTTATAGATGAGGAAAGTGAGACAAGGGAGTAGCTGACAACAATTCACACATGTCAAGGACAGAACCAGGAGCTGAACCCTGGTAACTCAAGTCCTGAAGGCTGTGTGTTTAACCATTAGGATGCACTGCCTCCGGCCTGATACCATTCAACCTTGGAAGCGTGCTTGGTGGAAGCGTGCTTGGCGGAAGCGTGCTCGGTGGAAGTGTGCTGTTTGAGATGCAGAAGCAAATGTGCATACGAGGTCCGCTGTGTCCGTATTCAGACCTTTTCTACAGTTTTCAAAGCCTGTAAGTCTCTCTTTTGCAATGAGCTGGACGCTCAGTAGTTGAATGTTCCCTGAGATGATATCCTGCTGCTTTATTTAGATGCTAAATTATCTAAATTATCTAAATGTGGAATTTACCATTCTGAACTCCCCAATATGCTGTCCTTAAGCCAGAGATGCACTTTAAGCTGCCCCATGTGGGATGGTGGAATTACGATGAGGCAGCGCCAACAGGGCGATGGTGGAATGAGCGGGACACCTGGATTCAAGTTGAGGCTCCCCCACTTTTCTGAATATGTGACCAGGGCTGGGTCACTTGGCCTCTGGCTTTAGGTTCCTCATTTTCAAAATGGGAACTATGTCACTTGCATCATAGACCTGTTGAGGGGATTGAATGGAACATAACTGATGGCAGAGTTGTCATCTGTCACACTTAGGGGATGCAGGTTAGGAAGGGAGCTAAGGGAGGGAGCTTTGGAACCTGCATGAGTTTTTAATCCAGACTTTGCCACCTCCAGCCATCTGCTGCTGGGCAAGTTATTTAATCTCTCTGTGCCTCCATATTCCTGTCCCTAAAATGGGGGAAGATAATAATACCTACCTAATAAGCTGTCGCTGGCATTAAATGAGATAATACATGGCACATTCAGAACAATGGCTCATTGTAGTCAGTGCTCACTCAATGTTAGCTGGCATGCTAAATGTAAACTATTCATAATTATTACCCTCATCTCACTCATTTAAATCCAGGGACCCACGTGGACAAACTAGGTGCCTAGGTTGGGATAAGAGGAGTTGACTGTATCTATGGAACCTAGTTCAGCTAACTGGCCCATAGAAGGAACAAGCCTGTAACCTTTTTTTCTTTTTTTTAAAACTATTATTATTATTTTTTGGCTGCATCACATGGCTTGCGGGATCTCAGTTCTCCGACCAGGGACTGAATCCAGGCCACGGCAGTGAAAGCCTGGAATCCTAACCACTAGGCCACTAGGGAACTCCCCCAAGCCTGTACCTCGAACTCACTGACACCATGTGCTAATTCACTGAGTCAATGACCTATCTTCATAAAAATCATGTGCAACTTTGGGCAAGTCAAATCACTTCTCTGGGCCTCAGTTTCCCAAGCTACAAAATGAGGGGGTGTGAACTGGAGGGTACCATGCTCTGTGCATTCAGGACACGGACACACCGGGTAATTCTGTGGTCTCTGAGAGGCTTAGGGGGCCTGGTGAGCTTTATCAGGTGGGCAGGATTGTTATCACACAAATGTTCACAGAGACGCACAGCATCCTGGAGCTGGAAGAGTTCTTAGGAATGCTTTCATTCTTTCAACATGAACCCTCCTTTTAGAGTCACAGAGAAAAGGCCTCATTGTACCTGTGGGGAAACTAAGGCTCAGAGTTGCCTATCTCTGATTCTGTGGACACCCCTTACCACACCTAGCCACTTGCTTTGTATAGGGGTGTCTCTCATCACAAGTTAGTGTAATTGGAGAAGAATAAGCACAATAAGTACTTACATTTATATTTGGTGATATTTATTGAATGGTGAGTATATATCAGATGCTTGCCTACCTTTACACAGCTAATTACAGACAGAACTGGGACCAGACCTCTCACCTTCTAGACCAATGGTTGACAAACTACAGGCCTGTGGGCCAAATCTGGCCCACCACCTGTTTTTGTAAATAAAGTTTTATTGGGAGACAGCCACATCCATTCATTTACATATTGTCTCTGGCTGCTTTTCACTACAATGGCAGAATTGAGTAGGATCAAAGTGACAGCATGGCCTCTGTGAAAATACTTATCTGGACCTTCATAGAAGAAGTGTGCTGACCCCTGTCCTAGACAGTACCTTTTTCAAGTGCAGAGACCATATCTTACTAATTTCTTATTCAGATGTATATACACTTCCTGGTAAACAGTGGGCTCACAATAAACACTAGGGAATGAATCCCTTGGTTTCCAAACACATGTTCTTCCCATCACAGTGCCCCGTTGAGCTTACTGCGTTAGCTTAGATTCAATTTGATGAACCAGCTTGTTCTTATTCTCAAGTTGAAAGACACCCTGAAAGGGCCATCAGAAGCTCCAGGGCCTCTTCTTCATGACTGAATAGTTCGGGACAGCTTTGCTAGCAAAAGAAAGATGAGGAAGCCATGCATTTATGGGCTAGGCTTCTCCTCTGGGCTGGAAAACTCCACAGCTGTCTCCAATGGTTAGGTGCAGAACAGAGGTAATGTTGCCAAGAACTTGTTGACATTTGAAGCATGGCTGTTAGTATCTCAACGCCTGCATTTCCTGGGGTTCCAAACCGAGTATTGGTTTCTTTTCTGCCTCTTTTACTAAACTAGCCTCAGCATGCAGCACAATCTGGCAGTAACAGAATCCACGTGGCAGGTTATCATTAGCGGGAGCTGCAGAATCCACAGCACAGGGGAAGCGGCACATAGAAAGGGCAAGGGGTGCTGGCATTGTCCCGTTCTCCATGCAAGTGTCAGGAAGGGCAGGCGTTGACCTTGGAAACATTCCAGGATGAGGCCTGGGAGGGTAGACAGAGGCTGGCGTCTGCAAAAGACCAAGCTCTGGCTGCAGAGGCACATCCATGAAAGAGGCAGTTCTTTGCCATAGGTGTTCCAAGCCTGTAGCACTAAGGTATTCCCAGCCCGGGCTCACATTGCATCCGGTGTGTTATTAAATAAAAAGAGAGCTACAGAAGCTGCCTGCCAAGGAGCCTGAAGTTATTAAAATGGGACTGTGGAACGCAGGCCTTGCTGCCAAGGAGATAGGCCACAGCAAAGCCACTGTGGATGTGGGGTTCACAGGGCAGTCTGGGTGTCCAATGGCCAGGGGAGGGGGCAGAGGACCGTGAGACTAATTGGGCCCCTTCCTGGGTAGAGAGTTTCTCTGGATGCCATTTCTCTGGATGCCAGTAACCAGTTTCTCTGGTTACTTTTTGCAAAGTAACCAGTTCAAGATTTAAAAAAAAATTTTTTTTGCTGTGTCCCAAGAAACCAGATTTTGGTAAAACCCTTACTTAACCCAAACATCCAGTGTGTGTGGGTAGACAGTAGCCTGACTGAACCTTTTGATTTACTGATGAGCAATCAGAAAATCTTTTCTGAGTATTATTGCAAGGATTATTGCAAATATTTTGAACATTTATTAGGCCAGACAATAAACACAAGGAAGAACCTGTGCTTTGGAGTGAGGCAAATCTAGGTTTACATTCTGAGCAAATATCCCAAAGAACTGAAAGAAGGGACTGGAACAGATATTTGCACACCCCTGTTCATAGCAGCATTATTCACAAGAGCCAAAAGGTGGATGCAACCCAGGTATCCACTGATGGATGAATGGATAAACACAGTGTGGTACATACGTACAATGGAATATCATTCAGCCTGAAAAAGAAATGAAATTCTGACGCACACTACAACATGGATGAACCCTGAGGACACGGTGCTAACTGAAAGAAGCCAGCCTGAAAAATAAGCCAGACAAATACCATATGATTCCATTTATATGAAGTACCTAGAGCAAACTCACAGAGACAGAAAGTAGAATGATGGTTGCCAGGGCTGGGGAGGAGGGGGGAATGGGGAGTTAGTGTTTAATGGGTATAGATTTTCAGTTTGGGAAGATGAAAAATTCTGGAGATGGATGGCAGTGATGGTTGCACAACAATGCGAATGTACGTAATACCGCTGAAGTGTACACTTAGAAATGGTTAAAATGGTAAGTTTCATATTACGTATGTTTTACCACAATGGAAAAAAATCTCTGTAATAGCTGTGTGACCTTAAGCAAGTTACTTCACCTCTCTGTGCCTCAGTTTCCTTATTATAACATGGGACTAATGAAAGGGTTGTGGTGAGGATTTAAAAAGGTAATGCAACAAAGCTTTAAGCACAGAGGCCTGCACCTGGAAAGGACTCAGGGAATGTTGGTGTAAAACAGAAAATAACATCTCAAACGCAACCTGTGTTTTCACAACGAGCAGAGTAACCATTATTCACATCAGTTGTCACTCTATAACCGTGGATGTGGGAGGCATGTGTGCTGAGCTCCAGTTATACCAAAGAAGAGTGCTTTGTTTTAAATTAACTCCTGATCTTAATTTATTTCATTGTTTCTTCCCAGCAGATGCTAATCCTCCTGTCCTGAGCGCATGAACCAAAATGAAGTGGCACCTGGACACACGATTTTAATTCTCTTGGTCCCGGTATCCCCACTTGTGAAGTGAATTGGATGAAATTGGTGGTTCACTGATTTTACTCCAGAAACTGGAGTGAAGACTGGCCTTAGGGCTGAAATCACAAAGGTTGCCCTGGGAGCCTGTTAAAAATACAGATTCCTGGGCTTCCCTGCAGAGATCTTTGGGGTGAAGGGCCACACCGAGATTCCAGATGTCTCCCCAGGTGTTGGGGCCACCTGAGTAGGAGGAATCCTTGGACCTCTCTAGTGTTGACAGCCTGTTCTCAATCTTGGCACATCTGAGAATCACCCAGGAAGCTATGAAAAAAATACCTTTTTTCCAGGCTCCACCCCCAGAGATTGATGAATTGGTCTGTGATAGGTCCCAGGCATGGGGAATTTTTTTTTTTTTTTTTGCGGTACGTGGGCCTCTCACTGCTGTGGCCTCTCCCGTTGCGGAGCACAGGCTCAGGACGCGCAGGCTCAGCGGCCATGGCTCACGGGCCCAGCCACTCCGCGGCATGTGGGATCCTCCCTGACCGGGGCACGAACCCGTGTCCCCTGCATCGGCAGGCGGACTCTCAACCACTGCGCCACCAGGGAAGCCCCAGGCATGGGGATTTTAAGTGAGTGCCCAGGTGATTCTACCGTGCAGCCAGCATTGGGAACCTCAGTTCTAGCATAATGGTTCTCACCTGGGAACACCCCCGAATCACCTGGAGGGCCTGGGAAGCCATAGACGGCCAGACCTCACTCACAAAGTTTCTGATTCAGCAGGTCTGGGTGGGGCCTACAATTTACATTCCTGACAAGTTTCTGGTTGATACTGATGCTGCTGGATTGGAGACAACACTTGGAGAACCACTGTTCGAGAAGCTTGCTGCTCAAGGTGTGGCCTAGACCAGCTGCAGAGGCTTCACCTGGGAGCCTGTTAGAAACGCAGGACCAGCGCCCACCCCAGAGCCTGCTGAATCAGAGTCTGCGATGTGACTCATACACATGCCACAGTTTGAGAATGACTGCTTTTGAAACTTCTGCTTGCTTGCTTTCATTGTGTTCTGGAGGGGCAGATGAAGGGAAAGACATCTCTTCTAAGCAGGAAGCAGACCTTGGGAGGAGTGATGACGGCTGGCCTAAATGCACAGGCCCAGCATCCGCGCTCTACCCGGACTCAGAGTGTGTGCAAAGAAAGTCTCTCCCGCGTCAGGGCGGGGGGGGGGGGGGCGGTGCTCGGGAAGCGAGAACGGGATCGATTACCTTGGCGTGGTTGTAAATATCCACACAGTTGTCGGTATTGATGCTCTTTGCGCAGATAATCTCACAGTGTCGCTGCAAAGCCTCCAGCTGGAAAAATTTAGCAGCAGACAGAAGCTAAAAACCATGAAAAGAGCCTGTTAGAGGTTGGGAGGTGGAAGGAAAGCAACGCCCATGGTGAGAAAACTCTTCACCTCCCACAGCGGTACCCAAGGTGAAGGCACCGGGAATAAAGTGTCGGACATCACTCTAAAGCCGGAAGGTTACACTAGAGCTGTTGCTGGCATGAGAGGACTAAAGACTCAGTGACAGAATTCAACTGCAGGGGAAGATGGCAGGGGGGAGGGGTGGGGTCGAAGTGAATCAAATTTACATTTATTACAGCAAGAGGTCAAGCAGAAATGCCTAAAATTGTTACATCCAGAAATAAGGGTGACGCTCTTATTCCGCAAGGTGGGTATCAATGTGGCTCACTCCCTCCATTTATGCATGTCTCCACACACATGTCACCTCAGGACTCCTCCCTCCATCACGATCCGGCCCCCCTACCCTGTCTGAGTTTTCCTCACAGCCCTTCTCACACCAGACATGATGTCATGCCTGTCGCCCTCTCCAGAGACCAGGAGGGCAGGCATCTCTGTCCCTTTGCATAGCTGCTGTATTCCAGCCCTGAGCACGGCACCTGGCCGTGGAAGATGCTGAACAGAGGCTCTGGGGAGGGGAAGAAAGGGCTGAAGCAAGAGTTCAAAGGGATTGCCTTTGGGGAAAGGACTGGGAGGATGGGGTGGGGGGTGGCTGGGTGAGGTGCTTTTTATGTATTGTAAAGCTCTTCTGTATTATCTACATGATTGAAATGTATGTTCATTATTTCAATTTGAAAATAATTTTTAAAAAGGTTTACAAAAGAGTCTGAGTCCTCAGAGTGTAGTTTAGTCCTGAGGTTGTAACGAGTCAGAGGAGCCGTCCAGAGAGACAGGAGAGTAACTTTGGGGGGCGGGGGAGTGACCACAGAAGGTTTCACAGAGTAAGAACAAAAGGATAAATGGCCCCCAGTGAACACACAGCCCCTGTGACACGAGCCAGGCACTGTAGTAAGCACCTTACAAATAGAAACTCTTAAGATCTTCAAAACCCAATGGGGTAGATATTGTTATCCCCATTCTACAGGTTGGGAAACTGAGGATCAGAGAGGTTAAATTACTGCTCCAAGATCACACAGCTCAGAAGGGGTAGAGCCTGGAGCTGAACCCAGTCTGGCCCAGAGCCCATGTCTGAACCACCATGTGGTGTCACCTCTTGAACAACTCATAGTGTTCTGACATCTCTCATCAGCCACCCTGGACTTCAGGCACCTGAATGGGCTCCTGGCTCTCTCGCTCAGGAATATCAAAGTGATTTTGGCTTCTGGTTCAAAGCTACCAGCTTTGACACGAGTTCCACTTCTAGGAAGGAGCAGGGAGGGCAGAAGAGGCAGAGTTACGAGAGGTGGACAGGAGACAGGGAGAGCCAGGGAGCTGCAGGAATGAGGGGCCTGAGTGAGGCCAGGAGAGCTTTGTAACTGGTTCTTGGCTTCTGCCTCAGTGGACGTGCTGAGATTTGAGGAATGCTTTCAGACCATATATTTCTCTTACAAATGACAAGGGAGAAGTCGTCAAAGATAGTTCCTGATGATGCTATTTGAGCCCCAGCTGTGCCTGAAGCTAGCGCTAGCCTCAGACTCTTCAGTAAATTTCCTTTCCTCCACCCGCCAAAGCCAGTTAAAATTGGGCTTCACTCAGCTTCACTCAGTTGCTATTGAAAGGGATCAGACTAGCGCCCCCAGCGCCCCAGCCTTCCGGGGGAGGGGCTCTGATGAGAAGCCCTTGGGAGATCTAAGGAGGCAGGCAGGACCCCAAAGCCTGCATCCAAGTGAAGACCCAGCACAGCCTCCCCCCAGACACCGCCCGTGCGTGCCACCCACCCAATGACACAGCGGATTCCTTACCTCCATGATCTCGTTGTTTTTAATGAGAAGCGACTCTGGGCCACCGTAGTAGAGGTACTGCATGACCAGCTGGAAGACAGAACACAGTGCGCAGAGTGTCAATGGCACACAGACACAGTCATCTTGAAGCCATCCACTCAAACCCTCGGGCTGGCTCTGAGTCCCTGTATGACACCCCTGTTTAAGGGCGGCCATTCCCGCCGGATCACTGCCTTTCAGGAGAAGCTCCCTTTAAACGTTGTATAGGCTGGACAGTTTTCCTTACACCGTGCTGCCATCTGTCTCCCTGTGGTTCACCCTCGGGGCCAAATTAAACAATTCTAAGCTCTGCTCTCCAGGATGGTTTTCCCCCATCTATGAGTGATAATCACGGGTTGTCCTCCTACCTCCCACCCCACCGAGCTGCCCAGAACTGCAGCACACGTGGTGTGGCTTAAAGACCCTACACCAGCGGCAGTCCCCCTGGGAACATGGCCTGGTTTGACTAGAAACCTCTTGTTTAAGTTCCAGAGGGTGACTGAGCCACGGTGAAACCACCTGCTTATTATAACTTGACATCAGGGGTCCAGGGTTTCAACGTTTCATTGATGGTGTGAACTGTCCAAGCCAGGCTTTGTACATGGGACTCAGGATGCGGGATGGTGTGCAGAGTCCCAGAGCTTTGCAAACTGGTGTCCCTCAAGTAGAATGAAGCCTAAGGATGTGTTAGTATTGGCTGTCACCACCTCCCATGGAGCTGAGTATAAATTTTTTAGGTGGTGTGTATCCTTCCCAGTTGGCTACTGTCTCCACTACTCTCTAATGTTTTCTGCCTGCCTGTATGACATGCTGACTTTACCTGCCTGGGCTTAATAAAGGTGTGTTGGAAAAATCTGTAGACTGTTACATTCCATTTTGGGGCGCCTATAAAATGAGGTGCTTGGACTGGGCTGCCCTCTATGGTCCCTTCAGGCTCTGAGAGTCTGTGACTAATATAGAACAGTGGTTAGGAGCAAGGAACCTGGAGCTGGGCTGCCTCAGTTTCTGATCTGGCTCTGCCACTTAAAAGCTGGGTGACCTGAATTAAGTTAGGCTCTCTGTGCCTCAGTTTCATCATCTGTAAAGTGGGGATAATATGACCTACGTCATGGAGTTGTGATCAGGATTAAATGAGTTAATATATGTAACAGGCCTAACAGGGGCCTGGCAGGTGCATGGCAAGAACTCAATAAATGTTAGCTCTTCAATTTTCTCTGCGGTTGAAAAACCTTCTTCCAGGAGTGCTTCTGCCATGTGCTGCCACTTTCTTACTCAGGCCATTTAACATCCTTTGTGACTGATCTCAATCTACTTTTTGCATGTGTGTTTAAAGTAATCATTTTTCAGCTCATATAACTCAATAACAAAAAAAGACAACCCAACCCAAAACTGGGCAGAAGACTAAAACAGACATTTCTCCAAAGAAGACATACAGATGGCCAATAGGCACATGCAAAGATGCTCAATACTGCTAAATATTAGAGAAATGCAAATCAAAACTATAACGAGGTACCACCTCACACAGGTCAGAATGGCCATTATTAAAAAATCTACAAACAATAAATGCTGGAGAGGGTGTGGAGGAAGGGAACCCTCCTACACTGTTGGTGGGAATGTAAATTGGTGCAGGCACTATGGAGAACAGTATGGAGGTTCCTTAAAAAACTAAAAATAGAGATACCATATGACCCAGCAATCCCACTCCTGGGCATATATCCAGAGAAAACTCTAATTCGAGAAGATACATGCACCCCAATGCTCACAGCAGCACTATTTACAATAGCCAAGACATGGAAACAACCTAAATGTCCACTGACAGATGAATAGACAAAGAAGATGTGGTATATTACTCAGCCACAAAAAGAATGAAATAATGCCATTTGCAGCAACATGGGTGGGCCTAGAGATTATCATACTAAGTGAAGTTAAGTCAGAGAAAGACAAATACCATATATCACTTATAAGTGGAATCTAAAATGACACAAATGAACTTATTTACGAAACAGAAGCAGACTCACAGACATAGAAAACAAACTTATGGTTACCAAAGGGGGAAGGGGGAGGGGGAGGGATAAATTAGGAGCTTGGGATCAACATATACACACTACTATATATAAAATAGATAAACAACAAGGTCCTACTGTACAGCACAGGGAACTATATTCAATATCCTGTAATAAACCATAACGGAAAAGAATATGAAAAAGAATATGTATAACTGAATCACTTTGTTGTACACCAGAAACAAACGCAACATTGTAAATCAACTATACTTCAGTAAAACAGTAATTGTTCAAAAAACATGTATATATTATTTAGTTGTATTGAAATAGAGTTCATATGACACAAAATGCTTTGATCTAAAGTATACAGTTCAATGGTTTTTAGAATATTCACAATGTTGTGCAACCATCACCACAATCTAATTTTAGAACATTTTCAACACCCCCAGGAAAAACCCCACGCCCACCAGTAGTCTCTCCCATTTCCTACTTGTGCTGACAACCACTGTGATTTGCCTGTTCCGGACATTTCATACAGACGGAATCATACAGCATGTGCTCTTTTGTGTCTGGCTTCTGTCACTTAGTGTGAATGTTTTCAAGGTTCACCCTGCTGTCACATGTATCACTTTCACCTCTTTTCTATTGCTGAACAATATCCCGTTGTGTGGATGTACCACATTTTGTGTATCCATTCATCAGCCGATGGACATTTGGGTTGTTTCCACTTTTCTGCTGTTATGAATACGGCTACTACGGCTCAATTTACTTTTTCAGATCTCACCTGCCACTCTGCCCTTCTCGCCTCCTAACCTTGATAACATCTGCCTTTTTCACTCTGACCGCTCCCAACCATTTGCCTTGATCAGAACCTACCACCACCGTCACTTTCACTCCTCTGCTTTTGCCCACGCTGTTCCCTCTGCTTGGATGCCCTTCCCTTCTTCTCCACCTGTTGATCTCTGGCCCCTCCTTCGGGATCTAGCTCAGTGGTCACCTCTGTGAAGCCTCCTCAGATCTGCTCAGATCTCTCAGCTGCCTCCCACCCCGTGCCGGGCAGCCCATCACGCGTGACTGCGGTGTTACTTCCCGCTGGAGTCTGAGGGCACAGACTGGGTCTCGTCCATCTCTGCCTCCCCAGTGCCTGCCCGTCCTCTTTTGCATTTGAGTCTCCCAAGCTCTGGCCACCTGCCTGTTGCAGAGATGGCGGTGCTTTAATGGTGATGGCTGAGGCTTTGTGAAATGATATCGTAGCGTTATTTAGCCGCCCCGCTCCCCCAAACCTGATGGGTCATAAGCATCTAAAACACCACATCGGTGAATGCTGGGACATTTGGTTTATTAGAATCCATTTATTCCCCTAGCATCTCTCTTTTATAAAGGCCAAACCAAGAATAATAACGGTAAGAGCCATAATAATAACTGTCCTGAACACAGGGCCGCTCCAGTTACAAAGCATGTTATCTCATTTCCTCACGTTGGGTTGTTGACTTGAAATGCTTCTTTCAAGAGCACGGATGGAGAACCTGGGGCTCATGGAATTTAAACTGGGCTGAGCCATGTCACCTTCAGACTTGGCCAGCACAAGCCTTTCCTGCAAGGGGGCGAAATGGACCCTTATTAGGCCAAAGGGCCTGTTTATGGAGTTGTTTTTCTTGGCAGCGGTCCGCCTGCATGAAGCAGGATGTAAACGGCGTCCACAGCCTCGTGGAGGCCCTGCTCCCAGGTGCAGCCTCAGCTGCATGGGGCTCTTGCCCGTGTATGATGTTAAATATTCTTGCAGGGAGGAAACTCAAAGCTGCCTCATTTACTAAAGTTCTTCTGTTCAGCATGGAAGTGAAGGGAGCAGGCCCCTGGGAGCCTCCTTCTGGGTCAGATTCAGCCCTACTTGGCCTATTTTGAGCCACAAATAAGGCTTTTCTTCTTTTATGGGGAAGGGGCAGGCACATGGAAGAGTCCCCAGGGCCTGCTCAATCTTCTCTGCCCATTACAGTAACTGGAGGCTAATGTGGCTGGGAAGCCTAATCCAGCCAAAAGCAATTACAGGCCTATGATTCCTCTGGGGCTGTGCCTTTCCACGTAGGTGTCTCATTTAACCAGCTCCCACAGCACACATTTATTGAGTGCCTACTACAAGCCGGGTTCTGATGACAAGAACCTCCCCAATTAGTCCCATGCTTGATGGCGTACGTGCTCCCTCCATGAGCACTTGGAGAGCTGGGGGGGCACGTGGTTTCCAGCATCTGGCTCATGCTCCAAATGCTAATGGACCTTTCCCCTGGGCTGGGCGATTTTTAGGGAGGACCCAAGGCCCCAGAGCAGGGACGCAGTTAAGAGGTCAGGTCTGGGAGTCAGCCAGGCCTGGGTCTGAAGCTCAGCTTGGCTGTGATGAGCCGTGGGAGCTCGGGCCACTTCCTCTACCTTGTCTGCTGGGTGGGAGAAGAGCCACCTGGAGGGGGAGCTGGGAGGACTGAACGAGATGATGTGGGGCAGTGGTGCTCAGAGTGGCTCCCTGCAGCAGCATCAGCATTACCTGGGATCTTGTAAGAAACATGAATTCTCGGGCCCCACCCCAGGCCTACAGAATCAGGAACTCTGGGGGGTGCGGCCCAGGAATCTGCATCTTAGAGAGTTTTCTGCATCTTAACAAGCAACTCCCTTCACCCCCCCAGCACTTCCCCTGGAGTTTCTGATGCCTCCTAAATTTCGAGAACCACTGTAACTTAGAGCACTGGTTCTCCACCTTGGCTGCACATGCCTCTGGATGATGGCAGAGGGTGGATACTTCAAAATGCTGATGCCTGGGCCGCAGCCCAGATTCTGATTTACAGCCTGGACACTGGGGATCGTCAAAGTTCCTCAAATGATTCCACTGCTCAGCTGAGGTTGAGAACCACTGGTTTCGAGCCCTGCACGTAGCTGGAGCACATGAAATGGGAGCTGCTCTTATTATTGTTCCTCTTTGGACCAGACTGGGTGCAAATAATGGCTCTGTCACTGACGAGCACTAATTTCTCTGGGTCTCAGTTCCCCACCTCTAAAAGTGGCAAGATTAATCCAGATAACCACATGCAAGCAAAGGTCAGTGCCTCATTCATAGTTGGAGTTAAAAATGGGGAAAATGAGGCTCAGAGAAGACAGTGTCTTGTGCATGGTTATTCCATAAGGATTCTTTATTTTGAAGTTTCAACATAACCAAAGGAATGCATCTCTAATGGTGGAAATACTGACACCTCAGTGGGCTTTAGGGCTTTAGTGTGAGGTCATGGTGGCTTCCTGGCAGCCCTCTGAATCACAGGATCTGGGGGACCAGGGTCAATCACCAGTGGAGGGAAGAACCATCATCTGGCCAGCCACACTTGGCTTATAGTATGTGGTTCCAATGCATCTTTTCCATCTCCAGTATACCTTAAGACACAGCCGAATGGACTATTATCACTTTCCCTCAAATACACACCGCAATTTCCCACTTTTGTGCCTTTGTTTATGCTGTTTCTCCCTCTGGAATACCCTCTCTCTCCTATTCACCAGATGAGGAAGCTGAGGCTCAGATAGTCTGGGTAATTTGTTCAAGGTCACACGAGGGACAATGGTTTCAAACAGGGGAATGCAGCTGTTTAAACTGGGGAAGGTAGCATTTAGATCCTGAAACGCAGCTCTGTCCTTCAAAGCCCAGATCAGGACCTCCGCCCTATGACCCTGGTTATGGCCGTGCTTGCCTCCTGCTTATGTCTGAGTGGTCTCCTCAACCCTCTTGGAATGTGAGCCTCCCGAGGGCCAGCCTGAGTCTTACCCACATTTCCCCAGGGCTGTCCTTCCAGAACTGAACCAGAGGAAACAGATCCTGTTCAGAATCCTATAAACTCCATCCCCAGATCACCCACGTTGGCCGACGAACCCTGGCTGTGGGAAGACAGCACGGAGGGGCCACAGTCTCCCCGGTAGGCCCCCTGCTGGACGTAAGCAGCCCACCAGCCTCCATGCCCCCAGTGAGACTCAGAGCTTCAGAGATAGGGCTGCAAGGCCAGATGGGGGTGTGAATTTCTCCTAGTGGCGAGAATTTCTCCTAGTGGCAAGAATGTCATTGCAAGGCTGGACTTATGAATCAGGCATGAAATCCAGGGCCAGATGGCTTCACAGGCAAATTCTACCAAACGTACAGAGAAGAATTTATACCAATCCTTCTGAAACTCTTCCAAAAGACTGAAGAGGAAGGAACACTCTCGAAGACATTCTATGAAGCCACCATTAGCCTGATACCAAAACCAGACAAAGACACCACCACCAAAAAGAAAAAAAAAAGAATCAGGCATAAAGAATGGAGGAAAGGGGAAGAAAGCTGCTGTGCCCCCTTAGAGGTGCCCCATAAACCAAACGGTATTGATTTCAAATGGAGGGAGACACGGCAATGTCATCTGGCCTCTGACAAACCTTCCTTTCCTATTTACATTAGGTTCAGACCAATGTTAAAATGACACTGGATTCCCTGAAGTCCACTGGTTCCTGATCACACTGGGCTCAACCGCCTTTGGGGCCTTCATACCTGCTGTTCTCTGCCTGGAATGTTCCAACTCCCTTTCTCAAGCCCTAAGCCTCCCCGTGGTTTGCCAGCTTCTCCTCAGCCTGCAATATTTCAGCGACACCTCATCCAGGGGCCTTCCCCAGTCTCCCGGGTCTGAGTCGCCATAGCTTGTTGGTTCACCCCTCTCTCATGCACAGCCCACTTTATACTGTAACTCAGAGTTACCCCCTCTGGACTGTGAGTCCCCAGGAGAAGAATGTCCTTTATCCTTGTGTCTCCAGGTCCCAACACAGTGTCGGGCACATAGTAGGTGCTCAGTTAATGCTGTGGGCATGAATGGATGGTAAGTGGGAGGGGCAGTGTGCGGATGGGGGCCAAGAGTGCAGGAGCTGATGACTCAGTACAGTGGCTCATCCACAGGTGGAGGGTTGGAGGGACCCACCGGTGCCCCGCACCTACCAGCAGGGTTCCAGGCCACAGCAGGGGCTTACCTGAAAGATGGGGTACTTCACATATCCGATCTCTATGCAGGTGTTGTCATTTGTTGGTTTGTTAGAGAGGAGGGCTTTGAACCTGAGGAGGAACATAAAGAGGGAGATAAGAAGACTCAAAAAGACATCAACAGCTTGCAAGAGACTCAGCTCTCTGATGACAGAACACGTAATGTCTTGTATCCCCTCCCACTCTGAAATACAATGACATATCCATAGATGGTTTAACATAATGCTCCCCCTTCTGATATGATACCATAATTCAATCTGAAGTTAAAACTAAAACTCTAAAGTTAAAAACAGTGTTTGGAACTGTTAAATTATTTCTCAAACAGGTGATTGGAAAAGACCAAATGTCTTTTAAAACCCCGTCCACCTTGTAGGGCCCATCACAAAGGCTGCCTTCTTCCTGGAGTCCTTCCTGATTCAGGCCTCAAGCTCCTCAGGCGCCCACGGAGCTCTCCACCTCCCTCTCCCCCCCCCCCCCCAACCTTTGCTCCAAGAGGGCAGGGACTTCTGCCATTTCTGCCTCTGCTGCCTCCTCAGAGCCTATGCCAGGCTGGACCTGATGCACTGTAGGTATTTCATCAACATCTGTGGATTACCTAACCATCTCCCTATGTGGGTGATCTTCTGTCTGGGGTTTGAGGTGCATTTTCCTGCCACTGACTAAACTAAGCTCCTTGTGGGTAGAGACTCAGTCAGTGGAACACATGGATACTCAATACCTTTAGAAATAAGCTAAGCTGTGTCTCTTTTTATAAATTAAACTTTAAATCTGAAATAATTTTAGATTTACAGAAGAGTTGCAAACATCATACAGAGACTTCCAGGATGCCCTTCACCCAGCTTCCCCCCGATGTTACATCCTACACAGCCACGGCACCTTTGTTGAAACTAAGAAATTAACATTGGTACAATACTGATCTAGTTCTTCTATGGTGTCACAACCGAGAACCTTGCAAGGGACAGTGTATTTTTCTTGCAGTGGCAAAGCAGACATTTGGGGTATTAGGTTTTGGGGGGGACACCGGAGGTGCCAGGAGGCTTTTAGGAACCCAGGGAGTGTTGGCCACACAGCTTCATTAGTGACCTGGAAGTGGGTTCCGTTTCTGGATCCCAGTGTCCTTACCCTCTGCTCACCCCCTGGCAGCCTGCCTTCTCCTCATTCAGCATCACTTTCTTCTCTGCCCACCTTCACCGATCCCTGTTCAGGTCCCGGGATAATGCAGTTCTAAATGGTCAACTCTATCTCTACTCAAATCAAAAGGAGAAGCAAGGGCTGTAGCAGAGCTAGCAGGGACGGTGTTATACTACTGTCACTCCAGAGTCAGGGAAAAGTAAGGTTCAGGACCTCTGTGTTTTGGGTGGCTTATGTCAAAGTTCCCTGATATTTGGAGAGCAGGCCTTTCAAGGCTTCTGTGTATGAGCTTTCAGGCCGCATGAGGACACCTGGCTGAGGGAGCTACAATCCAATCCACGCTCTGCTCACGAAGCTCTTTGCCCGATATGTGCCCCGTCTGCCTAGAGGAACGGTGCCCTGTCTAAGCCACATAATCAGGCTGCTGATTATGCTAGTGTCAGCCCTGTACTCTTTTTCCAAATTGTGGTTAAACATGTAACATAAAATTTACTGTATTAACCATTCTTAAGTGTAATGTTCACGTGAAGTGTGCTCACATCGCTGTGCAATCAGTCTCCAGGACTTACCCTGTCCCCGTTAAACAACTCCCCATTCCCCTCTCCAGCTCCACCATCCCCACCCTTCTACTTGCTGTCTCTATGAAGTTGATTACTCTAGGTTCATATAAATGGAAACATACAGTATTTGTCTTTTTGTGACGAGCGTATTTCACTTCATATAATGTTCCCAAGTTCATTCATATTGTAGCATGTGTCAAAACTGCCTTCCTTTTTAAGGCTGAACAACATGTATACACTATGTATTTTTTAATTCATTCCTCCACTGATGGACTCCTGGGTGGCTTCCCCCTTTTGTCTTTGTGAATCATGCTGCCTGAACACGGTATACAAATGCCCTGTACTCTTGGATCCTTGATTTTGAGAAGAAAACCTGCCAGTTCAGTGACGATACCACCCAAATTGAATTTCAGAGAACAGTAATAGCCACCCTCGTAATTCAGTGCTTTCAAAATTGATGACACATACCTTGGAGAGGCTGTAAATAACAGCACTTTGTGGGCATAAAATGGTCTTCCTTCTACCAGAAAGGTAACATCTGACATTTCTTTATTGTTCAGGAAATGAGGATCTGGAACAGGAAAGGGAGAGAGGGTAGCTTTAGAGGAGAGAAGGGTGAGGTTTGGATTCCCCTTTTGGAAAAGTGCCCGTAAGAGCTGACAGGGAGGCTATGGCGATAAAATACTCATTGGAGAGAAAGTGACCAAACAGGAGACAGAATCAGTTAAAGGAACATTCAAATCACTGAAATTCAGTTTCTCGTAGGAAACCTTCATAGCTTACTCGCGACTAAAAGTAGCATTTCCCCTTAGAAGCCTCGCCCCCAGCCCGAGTTCAGATGACTGTCAGGTGTGGAAGGTGACCATCCACCCCGCTGACCTCCAAGGAAGTCACCCCCCCACCTCGCTCCTCCTCAAGCTCGGTGCCCTCCTGCCGGACAGAAGTGCTTCTGAAGAGCTGTCCCCTTGCTGCTGCATTCCAGGCGATCCGAAATCCAAGCCCTTTTCTCAGAGTCAGAGGCAAACGAGCCAGGCCCCTGCCCTCAACTCCAAGAATAAAGAAGTTGTATAACTACTTGTACAACGAGTACTCTAGTACTTACTGAGCTGCCACTTACACGTGTAAACTCATTCAGTCCTGGGAGAAAGGGACGGCTGTCAGGTGTGCAGCTGGGGACACAGACGCCAGGAGTCACAGTGACTTGGCCAAGCAAATGGCAGGTGGAGAGGCCAGGATGTGAACCTAGACATTCTGACTCCAGGGCCTGCATTGCTAAGCACTGGGATCCTCCGATTTGCCTGTCGTGTTGGCCATTTTTCCTGGGGCTACAGAAGGTGCCAGTCTGTCTTCAGCTCAGCACTTCTGTCTCACTGGGAAAATCCACCAACACTCCCGTGCACCCCTACACGGCTCCACCCCACCTGGCTTCTAAGTCAGACCCCTGGCCTGGCCCCATTTTGCCCAGGCCCTGCTGTAACTTGGACCCAGAATTTGCCTTCCTGGCTGATTCGCCCCAGCGGGTGGTCCTGGATGTCCTCCACTCATATTTCTCTGTCTGTACCTACAGCCACCTCACCTCTTCCCAATAAAAAAGTTTTAACTTAAAACATATCAAAAAAAGCATTAAGAAGTCAAAATCACCTGTAATCCCTCTATCTTAAAAAAAATTTTTTTTATTAACAAAAAAAATACAACAAGGGCTTCCCTGGTGACGCAGTGGTTGAGAGTCCGCCTGCCGATGCAGGGGACCCGGTTCGTGCGTGACCCGGTCCGGGAAGATCCCACATGCCGCGGAGCGGCTGGGCCCATGAGCCATGGCCGCTGAGCCTGCGCGTCCGGAGCCTGTGCTCCGCGACGGGAGAGGCCACAGAAGTGAGAGGCCCGCGTACCGCAAAAATACAAAAAAACAACAAAACCCAAACTTCTAAAACTCTCCAGGTAAAGGGAAGAGAGGCTATAGGGGAAGGCCCCAGCGTTGACTAACACTTCTCCACTTGCTTTAAAGACCGTTAACAGGTTGGAGTGACTTTCTCCCTCTTCTCAGCCACCTGCCTCCCTCCTCTGGGTCTCTCTCATTCCCACTGTCCACTTCCAACTAGCCCCCACTCCTGCTTCCCAAATTGCTAATATCTCCTACCTTTAGCTCTTTTTGCCATTCTCCCCCAGAATTCACTGGGAGGGCAAGAGGACAACATACTATAAAAAATAAGGCATGTGCTCTCCAGTTTGCCATAGTCCCCACCACTCCCCTATTGTCTTACACCAAACTCATTTCAATCATTTTTATGACCTGCCTGGCCCTACAGAGATGCCAGTTTGGAACCTTTGTCACTACTCTTATCTTTCCTTTCAAGTAGATTCCTAAGGAACTACTATTTGGCCACCTTTAGTTATCTGAGCCTGAAATGCTGTATTGAAGATGCAAAACACTATTTGTTCCATATTCCACTTATTAGTAATTATGTCCTTTTTCTTTCATCTTGTGAGCTTTGAGCCTCTCAGGCCTGCCTTTATTCTCTTGGTGCTAATAACCCTTGGGATTCCGATGCTTGGGCTGAAAACCAGGCCCTTTTAATCGCTGGTGAAAGAAATCTCAGCAAGTTCAGGAGGAAAAAAAATGTTCCCTCCTCTCCTATAGCTACAGGAAAGCAGATTTTATGCTGCATCAGTGAAACAGCCCTTGCAAATGTTTGCTCTAACAAGGGTGTCTTGTAAGGCACCAGCTGTCAGAGATTATTGCTATGTCCTGGCAATGTAACCTTCAATCTCTAAAGTCTGTTAATTTGATTGATCTTTATAATTTGTTGCCCTGATAATATTTTAATTAACACCTGTTTTCTACAAGGTAAGAACTACCAGCAGTTTTAGTACATTCTGGTTTGCCTACATGAATGGGCCTAAAGAAAACCAGACAATTTGGATTCAACTGCTCAGTTTTTCATTTTAGCATAAAAGTTGTATCATTTAAATTAACAGGTTATTCATGACAGGAACAAAAATACTTTAAAAGTTTCATGAATTTAGCCTTTTCATTAATTTAAACTAGCTCACCTGTTTCAAAAGTAGGGGTTTTGCTAAAGGGTAGAATTTTTCAGATGCTTCCATTTCTCCAAAGTTTCCTGGTCTTTACAGGAAGAGGAAACAGGAAGTAGGAAAGTCCCCAACCTTCATGGCAAAGGGAGTCCTTTATCTTTAATATTTTATAACCCCCAGGCAGTGAGAGAGAGGCCCTCACAACAGAAGGTTCATGCTTCAGGATTCAAGGCAGCCGGGTGTTTGCCTTCTTGCCAGGCTGATCAACCAGGTTGCAAGCAGACTCAGGATCTTCCAAATGAAATCAGTGCCTGATGGAAAGGTTTCTTCTGGAAAACCCCAGAAGCCGGACTGGAGAATGATGGAATTGTGGCTTTGGGGGGACCTGGGTTCAAGCTCCAGTTCCACCTGAACTGATGCTGCAGCTTCTGAGAGCCTCTCTTTCTTCAGCTTTGACCAGGATGACACTGTGTGCCTCCTGCGGTGGCCCAGGGATTGCTTGAGAGAGAGTAGGTGAGGGGCTTTGCTGTGGCCAGCTCAATGCCAGGGTCAAAGAAGGGTGAAAAGTACTGTCACTGTCCCCAGCTTGTTCCATCTCAGGGAGGAGGGACTTCTTAGAGGGGAGGCTGGGGGAGAGCAGCTATGCATGCACAGCTCAGCCTTCTCTGGGACTTTACCTGGCTGCTGGAAGTGCGTGGGCTCAGAAGGTCTTGGGCAGCCCGTCACTGTCGGTGACTTGCAGTAGAAAGGCACTCAATGGAGGGATGAGATTTTGGCGAGTTCCCTTGTCCACACCCCCAAGGTCTGTTCTCCAAACAGTTTAATCGCATAACAAAGGTGACATCCCGATCTCCACCTACCTCACTCCAGTCTCCACCTCGTTTGCCCTCCAACACTCCCACCTTCTTTTATGGCGTTTGCTTGCTCCCTGCCCTCCAATCACAAAGCAACAGCGCAGGGCAGGACCCGGGAAGCACTTACCCAGGCGCGAGGTCTGTTTCCGTTTGATCTCTGTGAGCTTGGGGATGGGGTAGGGCCCGTAGCAGTGAGTGAAGATGACACACAGCTGCTGGCTGATCACTTCGTTCTGTGGAAAGGAAAGAACGGCTCACACTGCTGGGGGCTGTGCACTCATCCAAGCTGTGCTGTAACAATGAGTTCCTCCCCCCAGGCGAGAGGAGCCCACAGACTTACTGCAGATTCTCAGAGAAATTCCCCTGACATCACACGTTCACTTTGCCCCTCAGGCCCTGGATTTGCTTGCTCTGTTTGTCCACTATTTCTAGCAGGTTCATTGGTGGAAGTTTAATTTGTAATTAAATCCTTTCTTGCTCCAATCATTTCTTTACTATCCATTAGAAAACAAGTTTTGTAACTCACAGGATGGAAAATAAGTTTTTCACCCTAAACACACCTTTATTAATACTCCAAAATTCTGGCAGCAGGTCATTATCCCGAAAATCACAGCAGGAAGCCCTTTGGGTCCTGTTCTTGTGCTCTCCATGACCAAGATACAAACGCTCCTGATTCGGTTTTCTTCTGAATTTGATTCTGGCGCTGAGGCATTTCCAGATCCAGGAGTGCTCAGCTGAATCACTTCCTCCAAAAAAAAGTGTGTGTGGGGAGGGGAATAGTTCTGTGATGCAAAACTACAGCTGCCCCAGTTGCTCAGGGAGCCTGTTTCTGATCGCCCTTCGCCCTTCACGTTCTCTCCTCCTTTCCCGTTGGGGCCCGTGCTGTTCATTAATCTCCCTCCAACTGCAGGTGTGCAGGAAGGAAGCTCAGGAATCAGAGCATTTTTGGGGATGCTTTTTACTGGGTGAAGGGGGTTGAAACTAGGGGCTAAAATCAGAGGTAGATAGCTAGACATTTACAGTATATTAAGAAAAGTAGGTTACAACACAATTTGTACCATGTATTTTTGGAAGTAAAATGCTACATATATATTTGGATGTATAAAGAAAGGTCTGGAAAAAGAGTAGCTACCGTTGGGTGGGATGATGATGTCTTCCCTTTTCTTTTTATCTATATTTTCTGTAATAAACAAGTGTTGCTTTGGTCATAAAAACAATAAATGTTATTTTTCATTTTAAAAGACAGGTTTGGGACTATTAATGATGTTAGCAGTTCTGATTCTTGAATCTGCTTCACTGTGTTCCTGAAAGAGAGGGATCACAGCTCAACCTATGGAAAGAAAACCCAACCCTTTGATCCTGCAAGGCACCATGTTACCTCAGAGGGGGTCCACAGAGGTGCCTAAGGAGATGCAATCCTATTGGACAGAAAAAGGGATTCTGCTCTCAAAGATGATACCTTATGACCAGCAGCATCAGCATCACCTGGGAGCTCGTTAGAACTGCAGATCCGCAGGTCCCATCCCAGACTTCAGCCTCAGGTGGGCTGGGGGTGGGGCCCACCAGTCAATATTTTAACAAGTTTTCTGATGCTCCCTTTGTTTTGAGACCCACACGTTTCATATATTGAAATTCTGTCTTGGGTTTGACCTGGGCTGGGGACTGTCAATTTGTTTCCTTTGGTCTAAAGTCTTGCCACACAAACGTGCCCCATCGACCAGCAGCAGCAGTATTGCCCGGGAGCTTGCAAGAAATGCGGACTCTCCTCCTAGGCCCACTGAATCAGAATCCGCATTAACACGCTCTACAGGTGATCCCCACGCATACTCATGTTGGAGAAGCACGGGGGGTGGTTGGCAGTACTGTGGCCCCTAGAGGACTGCGTGCCCTAACCCCTGGGACTGTGATATCATGAGATACCATGGCTGTGAATATGTTCTCTTTCAGAGCAAAAGGGACTTGGCAGGAGTAATTAAGGTCACTAAGTAGTTGACCTTAAAAGGGGGCGATTACTTTGGATTATCTGGGTGGGCTCACTGTAATCACATGAGCCTTTAAAATCAGAGGCAGAAGAGGAATTCAGAAGGGATGGGGGAGACGTGGAAGTCAGAGGGTCTGGCAGCCTGAGAAGGACTTGATGCACTGTTGCTTGAAGACAGTGGGGGCCACATGGTGAGCTTGAGAGGGAATGCAGGCCCCAACACTAGGAACAAAATGTGACCCCCCAGCTGACCCCCAGGAAGGAAATGGGACCTCAGTCCTACAGCCACAAGGAACTGAATTCTACCCAAACCTGAATAAGCTTGCAAGTGGATTCTTCCCGGGTCTCTAGAAAGGAACTCAGCCCTGCTGATACGCCTGATTTTGGTCCTGTGAGACCCTAAGTAGAGAGCCCAGCCGAGACCTTGTGCCTGGACTTCTGACCAATGGAAACCATGAGAGAGTAAATGGCTGTTGTCTTCAGCCTCTAGATTGTGGTCATTTGTTACCGCAGCAATAGAAACTAATCCAGCTCATCTAGAGTTTGCCTATTTCACCTTCCTTCTGACCGCAGCGTGCCCGACACACTGGGGATGCACAGTGAATACTTGCAGATCACAAGAAAGATGAGACCTGTGACCTGCAAGATGCTCTGTGCAGACTGTGTGATGAACGGTGCTGGTCTCACTACCTGCACCTGGGGTTGTCTTGGGAGGCTTGCTGGTGAGTCAGCCCATCTCATCAACTCGGGGCAAGGAATGAAGATCCATTTCCTGGATTTCGTGACCCGTAAGAGAAGCTGTACTCAGCATCTAAGAGGTGACCGGCACTGTGAAAGGAGCCATACTGGGGGCAAGCAGAGGCAGCAGAGCAAGATCCCGTCTCTCCAGGAACTCACAGCTCGGCCTCACTTCCTAACTTCACTATGTGTTGTATCACCTGAGAAAGTAAAGACAAGGGCTGTCTGTTCCACAGGGACAATCCTCAAGCACTTAAAAATTATCTGGGAGGCACGTAACTCCCCACTCCTAAGTGAGGGCTGCATACAGTGACTTGATTCCAAAGAGCACAGTCTGGAAAGCGAGGGGGAGGCAACAGTAAGTTTGCCGTGGAGAAACTCGACAAACACAATCTCAGCCAGGTGGTCAAGGTCATCATCACCGGTGATGAGTCATATCGATCGCATGTACACCTGATGTGATGAGAAAGGCGCTTTACCTCGGTGGGCATCCTTCCCAAACCCACAATCTCGGTCTAAATCATGAGACAAATACTGCGTACTCCACTAGAGGGGCAGCCTATAAAATATGTGACCAGTACTCCTCAGAAATGGTCATGGTCATCAAAAACAAGGCAAATCTGAGAAACTGTCTCAGCCAAGAGGAGCTTAAGGAGGCACGACGACTAAAGGCAACCTGGTGTCCCGGAGCAGAAAAAGACACTAGATAAAAACCGAGGAAACAGGTATAAAGTATTTAGCTAACAATAACGTATCCATGTTGGTTCACTGATTATAGCAAATGTACCACACTAATGCAGGATGTTCATACTGGGGGAAGCAGGTGAGGGGTTGTATGGGAACTCTCTGTGCTATCTTCTCCATTTTTCTGTAAATCTAAAGTCACTCCAAAAAATGAAGTCTATGATTATAAGAAAAGCTTCCCAATGAGGAAATAGGAAAATTATGATGAAAGCACTAAAAGTTCAGGAGAGAAAGGGAAAGAAGACGGGTCATCAACAGTTCCCTAGGCTTGACTCATTCATCCCCCAAAGGTTTCGTGAATGTAAACTTTCCCTCATGCGCTAAGCTATGCTTTCATCCATTCATGAATTTTCTTCAAAATATTTATTGAGCATCTGCTAAGCGCCAGGCACTGGCTAGACCCTGAGGGCTGGACACTGTGTGAAGGATGGTGTTGATGAGCCCAACGCCAGCACCAAAGATGCTGCCATTTCCGAGGTTTTCTGGCCGCTTCTCTGTCAGAGATGAGAACCCTAAGAGAAGCCTCCCCACTGTGTCCTTGAACTCATCTGTGTTTGTCGAGGTGTCTGCTCTGTGCCCTTTTCTGTGCACTTCCTCCAGACTGTGGGATCGTTGGGATAATTCACTCTGCTTCCCTGGCACGCTGTAATTCGTATAAGTTAACAACTCTTGTGGGGTTGGTCTACCCTAAGGATTTGGGTAGCTCTGGACCCAAACCTGAAGACAGTGGCTGGAATTAGCCAAGCTTGAGGCTCACTGTATTCTGGGGGCGGGCGTGGGTTGGGTGGCTGTGCTGGGACAGACGCTGACGCTCTCCTCTGAGCGACACATTTAAGCATGGCGCTTTTAGCTCAAAGGGCCACAAGGCTCAAGCCCCAGGGGCAGCAGGCCAGCCTCAGCATGTAGGCCCTGACCTGGGAGGCCTGGGCTGGGAGAGGTAGGTCTGGCCAGACTCACGTACATGGCAGCCGGTTAGCAGTTGTTATTGGCGTGCCGCTGGGGACCTGGAATTCAGGTTTCTCACGGAAAATGCTGGGTATGTGTGCTCGTGGGGTGAACTTGGGTCCTCGGGACTCGGAACTGTGTGGCTACATAGAACTAGACAGGAATGAAGCCAAGTTCCTAACACCAGGGTTACCAGGAGACTCCCCTGAGATGGATTCCTGTGGATTTTGGGGCTGACATCCTTCCTCTCCTCCTCTACCCCCTCACTCCTCTCCTAAAAAGATACTGAAACACCTTCTCTTCTGCACAAAGGAGTGCTAGGATTGATCCCAAAGGTCCTTTTCAGGTGGCTTAGGCGGGGGTTCTACACAGTGGTAAAAACCTGGACAAGGGGGCCAGATGGGACTGGGTCCCAGTCCTGGTTCCTCACCCACTAGCTCTGTGACCTTAGGAAAGTGACTCGGCCTCTCTGGGTTTTGGTATTCTCTTCTAAAGTGGATTAAAACTACCTGCTTGGTGAGGTTGCTATGAGAGCTAAAAAGGATAACACATCCCAATATACTGAGCCAAAGGAAAGTGCTGAGATTCGACCATTTTTAACCCCCAAAACAGCAATTTCCCATAATTCAGACGAATGCCTATTTTTCTAGACCCTAAAATGTCATAAAATTAATGGCAGCTTTTAGGAAGAGGAAAAAGAAACTCACCACATTAAACACACACACCCATTTTTAAGATCCATTTAACTTGAGAAATATTGGAAGGTGGAAAAAGCTGTGTCTCAGAATCAAGAGAATGCGGAATTACTGTTACTATCTGGGGACA